GAGGGGTGGGAGGGTGTTAGTAATTGGAGGACGGGGTGGTGGGGATGAAGGGTTGAAACCGATCTGAACCAACACCAACACGTTCTCCCCTCCCCTCAGCAAAGCTCAGAAGACACCGGCGTTTCAGAGCCGTCACTATGACAACAATCTGTCAATCATCGCCAACCGGCGGGCTTCCTAATTAGGGGGCTGATGGCGCTGGATTATGAGCGGCTGCCCGGGCTTCGGAAAGCGAGGCTCAGCCCACCGTGCTTACCAACGGAGATAAACACTGATGTTCGTTCGTGCTACGCGCATCTTGTCACGCTTCTTTATTTTCCTGCCTGAACAATCCCACAGGCAGGTCGGAAGGTTCACTGTGCGGTTAGACGACGAGTCCAAGAAAAAACCAACAGGAACTCTGGCTGTGGTGATGGATAAGCTTTCTATGCCAGCTCCAAATCAAAAACCACATTTTGCTTTCTTTCCAAGCAAACGCTCCAAATGTTTAAAAAGGTTAATAAACATGAACACACCACGATGTTTCCTTCCATCTTGGCCATGACTCTCCACTTACATTAATTGCAAAGATTTACGATGAGCTAAAAAAAAAAAAAAAGAAAGAAATCTAGCAGCAGCAAATAAACCAAACTAAGACAGGAGGAAGGTTTACTGGACAGCTACTGTCATGCACACTCACTTCGGACCTTTGTAGAAGAATGGCAAAAAGAAATTGCTACAACTTGTGTAACACGGTGGCGGCAGAATGATACTGTGGGGATTGCTGTTTCAGGAGGGACAGGAAAGCTGGCCCTGCTGCTCAGAGTAAATGGGTACATAAGTCAAAGGTCACTTTTAAACCACAAACATTAATGGGTTGTATTTGGATTTTATGAGATACACCAAGAAAAACAGTGAAAAACTGTAAACTGAAGCAAAATTAATATGAAATATATAAAGAAAACGTTTGTTGTGTATACATGTTCTGCCCGTTTTAGATTCAAAAGTACTTTAAAAACTTCTTAAAAGCGTGTGTTCACAGACTCTCTCCATGCAGTCTGACCGAGCTCGAGCAGAAATGTTCAGCTTCTGTATTTAAAACCCAAAAGAAACAAAGTTCAGCTGTGACTGAGGCAAAAGGGGGCTCTACAGTAAGATATGTTAAACACTTTGAAAACCATGTACCGTTTTAATTTCACCTCACTATTATGCAAACTTGTCTTGAAATCGTTAAAGTTTTGGGTTGCAAAAGTTTAAGGGCCGTGAGTGCTGTTGCATTGATAAACATTTCCTCGCAACGTTCCTGCTGATGCGATCGTGTCGACCAATGAAGCGCCTCAACGTGTGTGTGAGACAGGAAGCCGGCTCAGATGCCTACGGAGGGGCTCTTTTACCTTGTGAGCCACTTGAGTTGGAGCGCAAACAACAGAGCAGAACACGACTCTGCAGCATGTTGACAACATGACACCGTTAGTCCTGCTGGGCCTGTCGCGCTCAGCGCCGCGGAGATGGCTGTCAGGTTTGGACACACACACAGCACCGTGTAGGTCAACACAGCCCACAAACACTAGATTCCCCCAAGGACCTGTACGTACACGGTGTCACACACACCAGAAACCAGTATAGTGTGGGAAGGGTGATGGGGTGGGGGGGGGCGCGGCGGGGGAGGAGGAGGTGAAGGCTCTGACCCACAAAGGCTGATTTCATTAAAGGAGGGAACAGGAGAGGAAAGGAAACAAGCGGTGAGTGGAGGGGACCAGAGAGGTCTCCGAGTCTATGACCACAAATGGAGAGGGCAGACACCAGCTGTCACTTGCTTGTGTCAGCCCTATTCTCAGCTGCTGTGTGTGTATGTGTGTGTGTGTGTGTGATCTCAGTCAGAGTGGTTTCAGTTACAGCAAACTTTGACTCTTTGTAAATGTAGCTGGAGGCGACGATCAACAAAAGCTACGGATTGAGACGTTAGGGTGGACAGAAGTGTGTTTTTCACTTAAAGCTCATAAAGCGTACACAGCGTAGCCTACCTGGTGATTTATTACTGACTCTAAGTGAGTAAAGAAGAAGCAGGAGGAAAGGTGGGGGGAGAACTTACCCTTTTTCTCGGGGGACCTCGCTCTTCGTCCTTGGGGCCCCGCCCTGCTCCTGCCCCGCCTCCTGTCCGCCCTTGTCGCCCCCCTTTGCCCTCTCCAGCTGGAGGTCGGATGGTCATCCTGATCTCTGGCGGGCAAATATAGTTCTCGAGGCTCTTGGGCGGCTTCTTGGTGCGCTTGGTGGTCTGGATCTTCAACTTGAGACTTCCCTCCTGGAAACTCGCTTCCTTGATGGAGAACTCCTGCTCCTCCATAAGCCCCTCCCCTTGCTCCTCTAGCCCCTCCCCCTCACTGGCAGCGCCGTTAATCACGTCATCGCCGTGCACCGGCCCGGCGCCTCCCGCCGCCAGTTGATGCTCCTCGCCGGGCCCTGCCCTGCCTCCCCGAAGGTCCGCCTCTTTGGGTCGGGCTGAGCCAACCAGATCCCTCGGCTCCATCCACACTCCCGCCAGAGCCAGTCAGGATGGGGGGGAGGGGGGGCGAAGCTCTGGCAATCGGCCAATGGGAAGATTCAGCGCAGGGGTCTGGTGGGCTGCTTGGTGCTGTCAGTCAGCTACTGGGATTGCGTCCGTAGTCCCACAGGAACGCATCGAAGCCAGGGACAATCTGCGAGAGAAGAGCAGGGGAAGAACACGATTAGAGGGAGAAAAGGAGCTCTGCATCTTCTGTTCGCGTACAACCTCTCAGCACAGGCTTGTACGCTGTCAACAGCCTCACTGGCAGCCTGTTGGACGCGAAGACAGACAGGATCATCACAGAGCTGCAGAGGCATGCTGCCAGACTCTGATTTGCATTTTGAATCTCACATAAATAAACTGATTTTTCACTTTTGTAGTGTTGTCTCAGTAGCTGCCTTCATCGTTTCTAGCAGATCTGAAGCAGAGCAGTGCTGGCGCTCGTGATCAATTTCAAATAAGACATTCCTCTTCTCTGCTCTAGAGCCAGGCTCAAGTTATCTTGAGGACACAGGGCAGAAAATCTGAACAAAAATGACTTTCTCCTTTAAATCCAAAGCAGGGGGGCAGAGGGAGGGAGTCTTACCGTGGAGGGAGGGGCGAGAAGCAAATGCCAGCAGAGAAAGAAGGAGAGAAGGAATCTAAATTCCTTCCCCAGATGTGGTTTACGAGCTGGTCTGGAAAAACCAGCGTCTGAACCGTTTTACACACTCACATAGCAGCATTGCTGCACGCATGCATTAAAAACCCGTTATGCACATAAATACACATCCAAATGACAGTGTTGCTGTCATGGAGCAGGCTGCACCGCTGCACCCGCACCGCTATTTAGAGAGAGGAGAATTTCTCACAAGATTAAGGATTTTAGCATCGGATCATTGTATATACGTGCATGCACGTTGTCATCACCGTCACGCGCGCGCATACCGACACAGGCCAAATACACCGAGGTATAAACAGAAAGCAACCAAAACAAACACTAGACTACAGTTCTTACTACAGCTCCAGGGAATCCCATCAGTCAATATGACATGAGGCAGGACTGAGTGGAAGTGGGGAATGCTGTCTCACATGCTGAGTTGAGTCTGGCACCATTTACACTGATGTGAACCCAGACCGGACCACGGTCTGCAAACATGACTCAAGTAGGAGCTTTGCTGCGCGCAGGAGACACATAAAGACCTCAGTGTTCACAGCAAGCGGCCAAAAGAAAACATCCTCAACCCCTATTCAGAGTTACACACCATGAGGGTTACTGCTGGAATACACCACCCCTCCCCCCCTCATCAGGTAATGGGGGGAAAAACGTCCAGGATGGGAATTCCAGACATCTATCTCCCAGCGTCACTCTGCAGCTCCTTCTGACGGTAACCAAGGCGAATCCGGGCCACAAGGGATGCACAGTCCCTGCACAGTCCCTGCAGTGGGCTCTGGGTCTTCCCCAGAGTCTCCTCCCAGTTGCACATGCAGAGAAACTTCCAAAGGGAGAAACCCAGGAGGTGTCCTGATCAGCTGCCATAACCACCAGGAGGAGAGCTCCTCTCTCCATCTCTAAAGAGGGGAGGCCCATTTCAGCTGCTTGTTCTCATCTCATGAATAGGCCTGTCATGAGAACAAATTCTGCTGGATGACAAATTGTCCCATTAATTACAGTAACAAACAATAATATCCATTTTTAAGTCATAAAAATGGAAGCACGCGCTCTCAAAGACAAGTGAACTTTAATTTCCAACGAACATTCAATACTGGAACTGGAAGACATTTTAAATATCAAAATAAATAAAACAATCGAAACAACGAATAAAAACAGACACTGAAGTTTCTGTAAACAAAATTGCCCTTTGAAAAATGAGCTAATTGAGACCAACACACTGGAGTGAAGCTCTTTGTCATCCAGTTTTTGGTAAAGAAAGATAAACAAACAATCATACAAATGGAAATTATCGACCTCGTTTTAATTTATCACATGATTAATCGATTCATTCCTTATGGCGACAAGCTTACTAATGACCATCGGTGAGTCTCAATGTGGATAAATCTGTAAATTCAGAGTTCTGCTTTTTGCTAACAGACTGAAGACACCACCTTCCACCCCATGATCACTTGAGAACAAGACGGCAAGATAAGGACTGCAGACCAGCCTCTTCCATTCAAGAACCAGACCAGATCCAGACTTGGGGAGCTGACTGCTACCCTGAAACAGGTCGGGTAAAACACAAACCAGAAACCTTCCTCTCTACTATTATGCCTTGAGACCCTAAGCTGAGCATTACCTGGATGCTTTTTCTCAATGTGCTTTTGTCTGAGCAAGAGTGAAAAAGAAATCCTCACCATCACAATAGTGAAGAAACCTCCATAACACAAGCTCTTAGGAATAAATATCATAATTCAGGGGTTTTATTTAAAACAGAGTTTAACTGTCTGTTCTGTTTTAAAGTTGCAAATCCTAAAAAACTTTACTTTACTAGACTGAAACGGCTTATAAGCTTTCCTGATAGGAATCTGAAAATTAGAGAACAGCAGTGGTTTTACTGTTAAGGTGTACTTTAACATTAAATGTGCTTTTCCTTTTTTGAGCAGTGACAGACTGTGAAGCTAAAAAAATAGTCCAAAGTGTTTCTACTGTTCCCATTCAACAACGCTGCTTTTCACCAAAACACTTTAAGCCAGTGGTTCCCAAACTTTTTCTCCTGGGCCCCCTCCCAGCGGTTTCCAAACATTTTCTGCCCCCCCATGATTAAAAATAGCTGGCTGGTTGAACGATGTGTTTGTGTTTATGTGTGTGTGTTTGTGTGTGTGTGTGGAGGGGGGGGAGGAGGATGAGGATTCTTAGAGTCTCCCTGTATCCAACTTTTTTGGGGGGCAAAATTAATGTACGTAGCTGGACATAGACAACAACACCAGTAGCCTACAGGCTACTTGTTAACAAGCTGCAAGCAAATTGACAGAAACAGAGAGTTGGCCATTCTAAGGTAAAAACCCAGCGCATACAGCGTTCATGTTTTTGTTTTTTTTTCAATCTATACGGCTTCCCCCCCCCCCCTCCAATGGCACAACCCCCCCCCCAGGGGGCGGCCCCCCCAGTTTGGGAACCCCT